GAGAGCGACCCATTTGATTTGGGAAATCAAACGAAGCTTCCGAACTGCTGGGCAAGTGTCTGTTCAACAGCAATTGGCATATATCATTAGAGGAGGCGAAGAAAGAGCGAGATTAAGTGCCCCAGCTGAAGGGCACCATTGATTGGGGATTTTGGGGTGCTACAAATGCTCAATTCCGAAGCGATTTGTTGTTGGTGATGATCGAAGAAACTGGAAAACCCAGTTGAGGGCACGAATAAAGGAGCAAATTGGATGGTTTTTCTGGGTTAGTCGGGGGTGTGGATAAAAGGGTGTGTTTGTAAGAGGAGAAGGAAAGCGATTCCGACAGTGGAATTCTGAAAACCTTCTTCTGAGACACCGAAAACGATGAATTGAGAGAGTATCTATTACGGTCAATTAACTACCTTTTAATTCTGTTTCCTCGTTCTAATATTGTTTTTTCTTTTCTTTCTTCTTTTTTTCCCCACCTGTTTATCCATGACTTGAGAATCAGTTAATTTTAGGTTTAACACTTTAACTACTCCTTGGGTTCATTTGATTCATTTTAGAACTTTATAATTTCAAAACAAAAATTTGTAGCTACTTAGAGGGGAGCATCACCTTTAAATAATTCACAACTCATCATTTGTATTGATTTTGGTACGTATCCTTCTTACTTGTAAAATGTTCGAAGACGGTAATGACGAGATTTGTCTCTATAAGAAATCAAGTATTTTTCCTTTGAAAATACTAATTTTAATGTCTATATTTTCAATTTTCATCTCATTTTATTTCAATCGGGATTTTAACAACAGTTCATTTATTAAATTTCTTAAAATATAATTGTAATTTTGTATTAAAGAGTTTTTATTATAACCTTAATATTATTTGTTAGAAAATAGAATATAAATAAATGTATCCTTAGTAGTTTTGAAGTCTTTATATTAGGGGAAAAAATTCTTGAAAAAAAATAGCTCCAAGCAAGGATCAAACTCGTGACCTTCGCTTATGAAGCAAACACACTACCACTATGCTATGGAAGCAATTCATATTTATTCTAAAATTTGATTATTTTTATTTAATTTTCAATTTAAGACAACTTCAACAAAATATATATTCAAATCTTCCATCCATAAAATAAAAAAAATATATATTAAACTTGGAGCCCGACACTGAAAATATCAAATTACAAATAGGGGCTCAAACCACTCAAAATTTTATAACAAAAGATTAAAATTATACAAATTTTGAATAGTTATTGAAACTGAAATTGATTTTATATTTGAGAATTGTTTTAAGTGGGACACTTTGATCTTTTGAGGTTTAAAAATTGGACAATTACTTGTCAAAAAAAGAAAAAAAAATTGGACAATTTATAAGTTTAAAAAATCTCAAATTTGGTCCCTACATTTTTTTTTTTTTCATATCTGGTTCCTCCCTACATATTTATGTTAACTACAACAATAACAGGTTACAAACCCAAAATCTTTCAAAACCTTAAAAATAAACATGTCAGAATTTTAAACTTCAAAGGTCCAAGACTTAAATCAAGCTTTAAAAGTGTATTTTTCATTTGATATCATTACCCAAGAAATGCAAAAATATGGGGTTTTATTTTATTTGTTTATGTCTACTGTAAACAAGTAGCCTCTTTAACTCAATTTGTAAGTTATCAAAATTAAAATTAAATAGAATAAATAAGCCCTAAAAAAAATTTCATATTACTCTGAAAATTTCATCTTCATTTTTCAATGTGTTGTAAGCATCGTAAACTCAAAATGGTGAAAAAATCGAATGTTTTCAACTAACAAGAACCTAAAATTTAGACTACGGAAATATAAATTTCGATCTCACATTTCGTTTGAGTCGACACAAAATATGGATTACTGGTTACTTGAAGATATTTCATCACACTTCGTCTTCTTCGTCTCGTGCTCGCCATCTTTCTCTCCATTTTCTTCATCTACAGCAGGGTCACTATTAGAATCAGCCTCACATCTTTTTCTTTGAGGAACAACCTCAAAGAAAGAAGCCTTCCAATCTCTTGTTTCCAAATACTTGAGCAGAATCTCCAAGACTTGATTCACAGTCAGGACCTTGAAATAAAATGGAAAACATCCAAAATGTTGTCAGAGAACAGTTGCTAAAGTATAAGAAGTAAATTCTTAATCCTAAGCTGATAGGCTGAGATATCTTGGTTTTGCCCAAAAATCGATCCTAACCGACCTGCTCACACCCCTACAAAATTTGGTTAGGAGGAACTTTTTGTAATCCCTGTGGCAGGTTCATGCCTCATCTCCTATTTGTTTTTCGTTCCCCATTATCTATTAATGATACTGTTTCAGTTGTTGGAAGGAGGAATGGAGTTCAGACTTAGATTTCTGATCTGACATTTTATATATGTCCAGCACAAGAGAATGTAGTTCCTATGTAATGCGGATAAATGTGATTTTCCTGTAAAGACCAAGATATACCTGAGAGCTAGACATCTTCAAGTAACTTCCAATTGGAAGTTTTGCTGTTTGAATTCCCTGTTCTTGTGCTTTCTTCATGGTAATCCCTTTCCATCTGTTGCGATCGACTAACCCACCAATAATATATATTTTCTTTAGATCAAGATCGTCAAGCACAGTTTCCGCATCTGCTGTGAGATACACCAAATTCTCCTTCTGATCTTCCAAAGTCTCTATGTATGATTTGTGTTCCTTCTCAATGATCCATTTATCGAATCCCGGAAGCCTGTGCAGTTGGGTTTCCATTTCTCCATTGCACCCAGTCAACCAGAGATGACCAGGAGAAGAACATCTTCCATTCACGGCATAGCAATACATTATCTGCAGGTTTTACCCAATAAAGATACTCAAAAAACTGGCATTGTAGGAGATGATCATTGCATCATTTCTTACAAAGTTAATCAAGCGTTAACAAACAAAGAAAGAATGAAGGCCGATGAGGATAAAACATAAAAATGTTTAGCAAGACTAGTCAGAAGTGAATCCTTTGTAGCCTCTCCCCTTGTTGCCAAATCCATCCAATTTGTAAACTGAAAAAAATCCTTATTCAACGTACCAAAAAAAAAGCATAACCATGACCATCACTTAATGCAAAGACAACAACAAATGAGCTATGCGAAATGATGTAGGAATAGGGATGATGAAGTATTTCAAAAAAGTCTTAGCGATGTAGGAATAGTCTAAAAGAAGGAAAAAGTCTCACCTCACGAAATGATAGTTGTTGTTTCTGAATCTTGAATATTAATGTATGAATAAAAATACCAAAAAAACGTTGCATCTTAGTGTATTATTATTAAATAGGCATGAGAATGTTAAACAGCTAATCATGTACATTATTATAACTGTAGAAGTAAAGTACCAAGTATCTAGGTGGCTAGGTGCAATACAGTCATCGTCTCCCAATGGGAGTCCAGTATAACATATGATTCAGAGCTAAATTCAACCTACAAATTTACATTTTCACTATACACATAGAAAGTTGAATTTTGCAAAGGATGACTGCTGTTACGCCCGCACTCATCCTAGTCTTCTTAATCTTCATTCTCTTGTCTCCCGCCCTTCCATTGATTTCCATGGTTTTGAGTTTAGATGGAAGGGTGGGGTTAGTCATGCATTTGATTGATTTAAGATCGATGTGGATAGTAGATATGGAGGCATCCATCCTAGGCTTTATGAATCAGGAAGTAATAGTTCATTTGCACTCTCTATCAACTAGGTATCCGTACAGTGGTTGAGTGATTATTCCAAGTCTATAGGTTCAGTCTTCGGTGCAATCTAATACCAAACTATTCAAAAAATTTCAGGTGATGATTACTTGGTTGGGAGGAGAATATCTCTAATAGGAAAAGATACACTAATCATTCTTGCAGAATGGGGAGGGAATTAAGGGTTTACCCCAAAGACAACAGTGGAGAGGGCATGCCAGGCCGGCACACACACGCCTTAAGATGGCCATGTGGGGTTAAAAATCCCTAACCTTGTGCCACCCAGAGAACCCTTGGCATGATCATTATTTTCAGCCATAAGATGGTCTAGTGGGGTTGAGGGTTTGAACAGATTTAAGGAGCAAAGAAGGTTGTGTTTCTTTCTTTGATTGAAGGGATTTCAGGAATTTTGACCCGACTGCAATGAAAGTATCTCCTTGTAACAGCCACAGTAGTATCCTAGGACCTCTCATCAACATCGTATTTCCACATGCTTCTGGAATTAAATGTGGGATGGGTTTAATAGGAGAAGCAGAAACCATCTCAGAAAAAAAATTATGGATTATATGCTTCTCCATCTCAGAAAGAAAAATTATGGATTATATGTGTTGTTTGCCTTCTTATTGCAAACAGCCACAGGAAATTTTCTCTCTCGAAATGGTAACCTACAACAAGAAATTTTGGAGAAGTTTCAAAGAATTGTAGCAATAAATTTGTGATATGTTCCAAGTGATGGATTATGAGTATACCATGTACCCAACTGAGTTTGGCTGGGAACTGAATAAAGATCATGAAGGAAAGAATAAAGAATGTGAACAACACACTTTATAAGCAAATTGTGGGCATTTTGATGCATAAACAGCAAATCATAAGATATAGGGAGAATCCAACTTAGTTTAACCTTTTGGCTACCGAAAGGGTCTTTTGTTTCTTGCAAGAAAGAAACTAAAATGTTAGGGAGAAAAGAAAATCAAATTTTCAGATTAATTATGTTTACTGAGTGCGCGTTTATGTTGACTCAAAGTAACATTTCATGATCTTCTAAGAAACAATCAATCCTCACATCATCAACTACTGAAGCTAACTTCGTATCTGCAACAGCCTGCACTTGTCAAGCTATTTGGCATAGAAACTACATTTCAAGCAACTAGGAATTACCACAATTTTCCGTAACAATAATTCGACCATCAAACTTTCGAAATAAACCTATGCTATATGGAAGAAATATACATATAAAAAGACCCGTTGATCCCATCTACTAGACATAATTAATACAATTATAAAAGTTAAGAAAACTGCTGGGTACTTGCATTGCAACACAAACAATTGAGTAAGAAGAAAAACCTGCTGAACAAGACTGTTGATCTCAGAGGGGGTCATGAGGTGAGAAAATTCGAGGTCGATGACAATATTCTGGCCACAATCTTTGGCCCTGTTGAGCCTCTCCATCTTCTTCTCCCTCTCCTCCGACCTCTTCCCCATCCTCTCCTTCCTCAGACTTCTCCGAGACTCGATCAGTTTCGATCTCTCCTCCTCCGAAACGCTCGCCAGCATCTCCTCCCATTCCTTTCGCTTTCGCTCTATGTCTTTCTTCTTCTGCTCTTTTGCCTGAGCTTTCTTCTCGGCTTTCTTCGCTTCGTATCGTTGTTGCTTCTGTAGCTTCTTCCTGGCATTCTTTGAGAGGGGAAGCTCTGGAGGTTGGCAGGCGGAAAGGGGATCCATTTTGGCGCCATGGTCGTTTTCTACGGCCTCCATTTTTTGTTCCCAAGTATCAGTTCCATCTCCACTAGGGTAATTGATCGGATATAAGATGTCTTAGACTCAAAAACTTATAAAGACTTCACGAAAAGGTTAAATCAAAGAAAAGAACATGGCATATGAATCTACAGTCACCAATGGGGTTCACAACAGGCCAAAGTAACCGAGCCTGGCATCAGCAAATAAATACTAGACATAGGATATACATGAGAAACCAACTTCCAAAGATTTAAAGAGCAAACCAAATAGTAGATAGTACAGTAGAAGTAAACAAGGTTGGTGTGCTACTCTGATCGATGCAGAAAGCATTCCATTCACGCAATGCTCAACTA